TTCTATTAACCTACTTAGATTTAACGGTGAAGATTACGGTCAGTCAAGTATTTGACTTATTTCTTGGAGAAGGACACAAATGAAATACCTAGAGAGTCTGTGATATTTTTTATTGCTACAGTGAATATTGTGCAGATGAAAAAGATAAGTACCACAGCCATTGAGCCAAAATCTCTTAACTGGTTCATACCAGTGAATTAAATACACATCTATTCCCTATTCCAAGATGAAACTTTACCATTTACATTATTTCTTGGCCAGCCACATATAGCAAATGGTTATACACAGAAAATAACACTCTCTTTCCTTAACAAGAGCCTTTGATAAAACCATAACAACATATATATATTTGCGTGTGTGTATATAGCAATATATATATATTATATATATATATGTTGCAATGTGTGTGTGTGCTTCAAGTAGTATGGAAATGATAAAAAAGCAATAATAAAAATGGCAATATTAAGGTTTTATATTTTTACATTTATCAACAAATCAAAGCCTTTAATTCTGGAAGGAAGGTCACAGTTTAGAGTAGTGTGATAAAATGTGAACTAGATGATTAATAACTCTAATATTTCCTCTTTCATAAAATGCTATAAAGCTCCATCATTTTTATAACTTCTACATAAGTCATATTGACTGCACAGGGTACAACAGAGAAAACATATATTATTTTGTTATATGATATGTTTATGATATTTAATTCTCCATCTGGCTTTGACATTTCCCCTTAATAGCATATTCAATTCCTGAACTCATAACCTGTTCAGAGATTTCAAACTAGATAAATAGGTAAGGATAGTAGCTGGAAATGTAGCAAGAGCAATATTCATTTTAGTTGCTTTAGAGATAGCAGGGCTTACCATTAATGCTTACTGACAGTTCATGGGCTTCCATATCAGGTTAGGGATGAGGAAATTCCTCTCTTAATATTTAGTATGTAGGATACACCTTTTTGTTTAGTTTGTAATTGAAAAAGTTAATTTTACTTTGATATTTTCTGATCAAGATTATTCTATTTTCCCTGTATAGAATACTTAAAATAGTTGAAATGTAGAAAATACGACATCTAACTTCCTTATTCAACAAAAGTATTTGAGCACTGTGGTAGACAAAATAATAGCTCTTCAAAAGGTATTTTCATCTGAGCCTCACAACTTATGAATGTTTTACCTAACATGACAGAGTGAATTTTGAAGATATGACTAATTTGGGGATCTTAAGATTTAAAAAAATCCTAGAATTTACAGATAGCTCCAATGTAATCACAAGGACCTTTATAAGAGGGGGCAGGAGGGTCATAGTCAAAGGCAACATGATGGGTGGAGGTTGGAGTGATTCATTTTGAAGATGGAAGAAAAGCTTAGGAGTGTAGATCAGTGGTGCAGCACTTAAAAGAAATGGAAGAAAAGCCTATAAGGCAAGGAATGATGGAACCTCCAGAAACTGGAAAGAGTAAGGATGTTATTCTCCCTTGGGGTCTCCAGAAGGAACTTTTGGATGGGTCTGCAGAAAATTTTATGAGAACGGAAAAGGAAGAAACAGCATTCTGAAAAGTAAGTAGCAAGAGAGGCTAGATTAAAAATGGAAGGAAGAATTGTATGACTGGAGATTAGAAGATCACAGGAGACTGATGCAACAAGGTTAAAGAATTCACACCAACTTAGGAATTGTTTGGTCATTCATGTTGAGGAGAATTTTACTTTGTTATATATGATATATAAAATGAAGTAAAATGTCCTTTATCCTCATGAGGCATTTCTCTTCAATTCCTCCATTCCTGAGGTTTTCTTCTAGAATGGATGATGGATTTGACAAATGCCTTTTCTGTGTTAGTAAGATGAATGTATATTTTTTATTTTTTCATTTGCTAATATGGTGAATGACACCAATTTTCAAATGTGACCTTCTATTGCAGTCCCTATAGTACTGTCATGGTAAAATGGTGGATAGTGTTCCATCCTTTTTTTCTGTACCAGGGATCAAACTCGGGAACTTGCTCTTGAGAGGCAGGCGGTGGAACCACTGAGCTAAATCCATGGCCTGGTGTTTCATCCTTTTACTTGAAAACTATTGGTAATTTTAAAAGCAAAGTGCAGTTTTGTAAGTATTATATTATATATAGTTGAAATTTGTTTTTTAATCCAATGTATGACTTTGAATGTGTGTTCTTTAGAACATTTATATTGAATGTGGTTGGACTTAAGTTGTCATTTTGCTGTTTGTTTTCCATTTTACAATCTAGTCTGTGTTCCTTTCTCTTTTTTATTTTTAGTATATGATTAAGACAGAATAATTACAATCACCTTGTTGAATTAGTATGTATACACATAGCATCTATCGTTTTTACGCCTCAACTTCCCACACTCTCCCCTCTTACTCTTGCCCAAGATTCTTTACCCAGAAAAACACAATCTACCTACCTGCTTCCAATCATCTTTTTTATTTTGCTTTTTTTATTGTTTATACTTTTGGTTTCTTGAATATGAGAAATAATGCCATATTTAGCTGTCTATGTCTGATTTATTTCACTTAGATTTATGGTCCTTAGACCCATTCATTTTCCTACAAAGGACTCAAATTTTCCTTCTTTATTGCTGAGTAGTAGTACTCCACTGCTTACATATGCCACATTGTCTTTATCCATACATCAGCAATGGAAATATAGGCCTCTTCCATAATTTAGCTGTGCATTGTGCTTCTATAAACATGGGTATGCATGTATCCCTGTGATATGATAACTTTAACTCTTTCAGGAAGTTACCCAGAAGTGATATAGTAGGTCAAATGAAATTTCTAGCTTTAGATTTTGAAAAATCTCCAAATTTATTTACACACTAGTTGTACTAGTTTATAGTCCCATCAACAGTATAGAAGGGTTTCTTTTTTTCCCACATCTCTACTAACATTTATTGTTTTTAAATCTTTACTAGAGTTAAGATGGAATCTCAGTGTTATTTTGATTTGCATTTTTTTCTAATGGAAAGAGATGCAGAGCATTTTAAAATGTAATTATTAGCCATTTGTATTTCTAAAACGTGTCCATTCATTTCAATTTTCCATTTTTTGATAAAGTCTTCAGTTTTTCATATATTCTAGACTCCTCTAGCACTGCGAGTAGCTGGCAAATTTTTCCCCATTGTATAAGCTATCTCTTTGCTATGTTGATTTTTCCCTTTGCTGTGCAGAAGCTTTTCAGTATGTTATAATCTTATTTTTTGATTCTTGGTTTCCTTGTACAATTGGGGTTCTGCCCAGAAAGTTGTAGCTTATCCTTGTCTTCAAGATTTTTACCACCTTTATCTTCAACTAGACTCAGTGTTTCTGTTTTTATATCTAGGCCTTTCATCCATTTTGATTTGATTTAAGTACAGGATGAGCTATGTATGTCTATATTCATTCTTCTTATGTGGATAACCAGTTTTCCCAGCATCATTTGTTAAAGAGACTGTCTTCTCTCCAGAATGTGTTTTTGGTCTCTTTGTCAAATATGAGATGGCCGAAGGTGCATGAGGTTGTTTCTGAATCTTCCATTGGTTAACATGTCTGTTTTTGTACCATCACCCTGCTGTTTTTATTATGGTAGCGTGAAATTTCAGACTGTAATACTTCCTGATTTGTTTTTTTTTGCTCAGGATTACTTTGGCTATTCTGGGTCACTTTTGGTTCCATATAAAATTTAGGATTGCCATTTCTGTATCTGCTCTTGTTATTTTGATTGGAATTGCATTAAATCTCTACCTCACTTTTTGCAATGTGGCCATTTTTACAGTATTAGTTCTGCCAATTCACAAACAGGAATATCATTTCATTTCCTAATATTCTCTTTAATCTCTTTTATCAGAGCACTATAGTTTTTCATTATAGAGTCCTTTCACTTCCTGGCTTAAGTTAATTCCTTGGTATTTAATTATTTAGAAACTACCATGACTGGGATTGTTTTCTTGATTTCTTCTTCAGTGGATTCATTGTTGGTGTACAGGAAGTCAATTGATTTTTGTGTGTTGATTTTGTTTTTCCATGTTGTTGAATTTATTAGTTCTAAGAGTCTTCTGATGTTTTGGGGGTCTTGTATGTAAAGGATCATGTTATCTGAAAATAAGGATAGTTTTATTTCTTCTTTTCTTATTCTTATCCTTTTTGATTTTTTCTCTTGCCTGATTGCTCTGGCTAAAGTTTCAAAATAGGAGAGATGAGAGTGGGCCCCCTTGTCTTATTCTTTTTTTACTGGCAATGATTTCAGGTTTTCTGCTGAATTTTACAAGAACTTCATAGAATTAAAGCCAGTGCTCAAACTTTTCAATGAAATTGAAAGCAAAGAAACACTTCCAACTTATTCCTTGAAGCTAGCATTACCCTGGTACCAAAATAACAGGCCAATTTCCTTAATTAACATAGATTTAAAAATCCCCAAGGAGATACTTGCAAACAGGATGTAACAACACATTGAAAAAATCATATATCATGACCAACTTAGCTTCATCCCTGGGACCCAAGGATGGTTTGGCATTTGTGAATAAATCTACCTAATATACCACATAAACAAAAGTAATGATTAAAAAATCATATGATCCTCTCAATAGATACAGAAAAATCCTTTGACAAAATCCAACATCTTTTCTTGACAAAACTCTGACAAAAAAGATATAAGAGAATCTTACCTCAAACTGATAAAAGCCATTTATGAAAAATCCTCTCCCTTTACTGTATTTTCAAAATTAATAATTATATAATAGTGATCACTTTAGGGTTTATGATATATATTTTCAACTTATCAAAAAGCCTAACTTTAATAAGTATTATAACGTTTAGTGTTCAAGAAACTTAGTATACTTCTCTTTACCCTTTCTTAGGTTGTGCAGTTTTATTATCGATACAAACATATTTCTTATACATATGTGATAAATCATGTAATACATTCTTATTTTTAATTATAAATTATCTTTAAAGATATTTATATAAGAAGGAAAATGTTACAGAGTTACCCACACGCTTACCATTTCTGGTGCTTTTCATTCATCTTTTTCAATCTGTATTTTCATCTGGTATTATTCCTTTGTTCCTCAAAGATATTTTTGCTTGAGACATGTTGACATTTCTTGTAATACAGGTCTGTTAGTAATTAATTATTTTAGTTTTGTATATCTGAAAATATATTTTTATTCATTTAAAAAGATATTGCAATTACTTATCCATTTCTATATTTTTTTTTCATTAAGTTCATTGGTACATTTTAGGTATACAATACAATGACATACATCATTGGGAATTTGTACCTTTGCATGATATATCTTGGTTCTTATTTTTTCCCCATTCCCCTGCTCTTCCTTCAACCCCTCCACCCCTCCCTATTTACAAATACTTTGTTTCCCTTTTTTCCTTTTCTCATATTTATTCCTTTCCCCTACCCATTTCCCTTCCCCTTTGGACTTTTTCTTCCTATTTCACATTATCTATTAAACATTTTTTCCCCCTGGTACCAGGGATCAAACTCAGAACCTGGCGCTTGGAGGGCAGGCATGGTGCCACTGAGCTAAATCCCCAGCCCTTTATTATACATTTTGATCCTTATTTACACTTTCAGTTTCTCAATGGATGCACATTGAGGCCATTTCTTGATAGTTTTTAACCTTTTCTCATTATCGTTTTTTAGTGTTCTACAGATTCAATACAGTGTTCTAGGTAGAGATTTTAAAATAATTATCCTCAATATATTAAATTTCTGAAACCATGATTTACGCATTTATGGAAAATTTTATTATCTCTTTAAATGGGGGGAAGAGACGAGATTTAAATGATGAGACAGATGCAAAAAATAATAAAGCAGAAAAAGATGTAGAAAGTACAGTATAGAATGGTTTCAGTGGAAGTTTAGATAACATTGAAAAAAGAATTAATGTATAGAATCTGGATGTGACTATATTGTCCTAAATACAGAATCTGTTTACTTCGGATTCATGTGCAAGATTCATCTTTTAAAAAGGCATACTCTGTGGAAGTGGAAATTACAAACTGGCGTTTTTTATGTTGTATTCTTTTATTGTTTTAATTGTTCACCAAATTCTTTAACTTCAACTTTGAAATTTGTTGGTGGTCATTGACCCAGATGTACTATGATGTGGTTATATTTTGATACAGCAGTGAATTTAAATATCAGCTTTCCATCATACGATGCTTGGGAAATTTTGATTATTTTATAATAACATTAATGAATGTTTTAAATGTAACAGTTTCTTGTAATGTAACATTATATTGTTTATTGAATAAGCTAAAGCTTTCTATAAAGTTCGTTTGTATCTGCATTGGATTTTTAAGAATCCTATGAAAAGGTCTCAACTCTGGCAAAGTCATATTTGGTAAATTTCCATTCAGTTGCCTCTTTTAGTGCAAAGTACATTTTTAAATATTCTAAAATATTGAAAAAATAGTGTTATAAGTCATAAGTAGATTAAAATAAATGTGATATGCTTTCAAAAGCATAAATATCCACTTTAAAATATAAATGTTTTTGTTATCATTATGCAAATAATACCTGATTTCTATAGATTTCTTGAAGAGTAAAGCAGAAGATAAAAATCACTTATTCTGCTATCTACAGACATCTGCTATTAATGAAAGTCACATATTGAAGATACAACATTTCTATATTCCTTAAAACTTTTTCTGAATATACTTCTTTCTCCAGTCTCCTCACTTCTAATATTTACTCATATTAGGTGATCAGATAGCTTTAATTGTGAAACCTTTAATAAATATTCCTGTGTTTCTCACCTTTGTGGTTAAGCCAGTGAGTGTGCTTTCCCCCAGTACTTAAGCTGGGGTCTTTTTCAATCTTCTTACTTTCCAGTTAAAGATTTTTTTCTGTTAAAAAATGATTGTGTGTGTTATGTGGTGTATTTTAATGTTCCAGTCTATAATTGTGTCCTGAGAAACAGGGGACAGTGCTTGAATATGTAAACATTGACACCCAGCTGAAACCAGGCCAGATATTCTGGGAGCTTTCAATGCCATGTGAAAGATGTGAAGAGCAGAACTCTAGCCTTACTTCTTCAAACAGCAGAAGAAGCAGTACAGAAGGATAAAGTTTTCCCACTAACCTTCCATTCTATTTAACTGCTATGCACTTGAACAAGGTGTGCTCTGATCTGATTGTCTGCCTTCTGCCAGGAGATCCTCATATAGAAAAAGCTGAAGTCCTCAACATCATCTTGTACACAGTCTATGATTTATACAGAGAGCTGTTCCTGTTTGAAATATACATTTGTGTTTCTCAAACTGATTCAAGACCCAATAAATCTGGCACTTGTGGGCATGGATAATATCCTTTAAGAGATGGTAGGAAGATTTCTGCCAGTTTAAAAAATGCTTTGATAATTTTAAAATGATTAAACTAAAGATATGTTATCTTTATTGATTTCCTACTTACAGCATTATATTTTAAGTGAAACTATTTATGAAAATCATCTTTGAAAACAACTACCTTAGAAAGTTGAATATTTCAGTACAAAGATACCAGAGCGTATCAAAATTAACAACCAGGCAACACTTCATTTTGCATTTTATGGCAAATACCTAATGTCAATACTCTAATTCAAAGAACAGATATGTTTTTGTGTGCAAATAATTATATAAAAGCCATTACATTTTCTTTAATAAACTTATGTTTAATTCAATTTTACAAGTAATTTTTGTTTTCCTCTGCATTTTCATCAAAGTTTAATTTTGCCCAAAGGTAATAAGTAACCAACAATTATTTATCAATACACTAATTTATCAGGCATTCTTATAAATGTTTGGAAAAAATCAATGATATAATGTATATTTAAAAACACATTTATTATTTACAAGTTATTAATTAAAATTGTTTAAGAAGCAGAGCATAGTGGCACACACCTATAATCCCAGCACTGTGGGTGCCTGAAACAAGAGGATTGCAAGTTTGAGCCCAACCTGGTCAACTTAGTGACTTAGTGAGATCCTGCCTCAAAATGAGAAATAAAAAAGGGCTGGGAGTATAGCTCATTGTGAAGGCCTTTAGTTCAATCCCCAGTATCCCCCCCCCCACAGATGAGGATTATGGATTATATTAAAAGACCACAAAAAATTTTATGATGACAAATTCTGGTTATAGCAATAAAATATTAATGCTCCAGAAAAGAACAGATCCATATCTTATACTATACAAAATCTGCCCTCAGGAATTTCAAGTGGAGCATTGAAAAGTAACTTATTTGGCTTTCAGGATACCTCAGGATGCCTTTGAAACCCAGGCAACAGTCCCCATTGACTTAAGCTGTCAGAACAGCAGCCTCTCTCCACCTGGGCTCATTTCGCTCTAGTAAATAAACATCATTCAGTTCTTTTAGGCTCTGAGTACAAGAGTTTACTGAATGCAAATTTAAATTGTCACCCCTACTGGGCACTTGGTTTATCTGCCCAGGGAGAGGGCAGGGCCGGATGACAGTCCTCAGCCCCAGCCCTCAGCTGCTGGGAGTCTCCGCTAGGCTGAAAGCTTCCGGTCTCTGAGGGCCTCTGCCCCTGCATTCCCTGAACGCCCGGGAAGGGCCAGGGAAAGATAGCAGTAGGTAGGAGTGAGGGGCTGGTGGAGTGAGCGTCAAGGGAAGGGAGAGACTTCAGCCAGCCAGAGGGCTCCGGTAGGCTGTGTTAGGTGGGCGGCCTGTGGAAGGTCATGGGCAGCACCTCGGCGCAATTACGGTTCCCAGGCCGGATGCCAAAGGGCCACGGAGAGGAGGCTCAGGTGGCGCCAGGCAGCTCCAGGTGCCCCTAGAGGGCAGAGCAGATGCGCTACTGAGTTGGGTCTCCTCGATGTGGGACGGGACCTCGGATCGACTCACCCGGGCCTCTGAGGGTCCCAAAGGCCCAGCCCTGCGTGAAGAGGACTCAGACCTCATCACCGTGACTGGGCACTGTTGGCACCGCGGGCGGAGAGCACACTCTGGGAAAAGGCCTTGGCCTTCCTCCCCCAGGCGTTGCTATGGCAACTGTGCTGTTTGCCGAGCTCGGTGGTGCAGCTCCCTCTCGCGGATCCCGAAGCGCTAAGCGCTGAGCCCCGCTCGCACCAGGACTTCGGAGAGGCAAGGCTAGGCCTCCTGGGTAGATGGGGCCTTTTTCCTTCCGCGTTGCCATGGAGACCACCGAGGCCACCTCACCTGTACCCAGGGTGAAGTACAGAAAAAACAACCTGAGCCCTATTTTGCCCGGGCCTCTCTTCCAGGAAGTCTAATCCAGCAGCTGCCACTGCTCGCCTCCCACAGACAGGAAATGAGAGGGCAGGCGTCCATAATCTGTCCAGGGTTTCTCCACCATAGTTTTCTTTATTTAGCTTTCCACTGAATTTTAGACCTCAGCATCTTTCACAGGAAATGGTCTAGAAAAAACTGTCCTTTTATACTGTTTGCCACACCTATTAACAGACAGCGTATTTAATTCCACACACCACTGTCCTGGACCAAGTTTAATCATCACAAGAAACATTTTAAACTGCCTTTTTACTTCCTTATATCCTTTTTTTTCCTTTCTCTTTTTCTACTTCCCCCCTTCCTCCTCTCTGTCTCTTGGTGGCCCCCCTCCCTCTTCTCTCCCTCCCCCCTCTCACTTTCTTATATTACAGCATTTGCATCAGTTCTTTCATTTTTGTTAACAGAAATAGATAATATTTATAAGAATGTTCTCTTGCTGCTAGCACCAGTGAAAAAAACACTTTTTGACAAGTGGAGCAATTATGTGCCAGAATATCTCAGCTACCTAGTTGAAAAAGAGTGGGCTTTTCAGAGCCTCTTTCTTGTTTTATTTCCAGTTCTACATGCCAGTCCAGTGCTAAAATCTCTCTTTTCTGGGCACTATTCCATCTAAGTTTGAGATCAGTTTTTGGCTTTTCGAGGCTGTTGTTTCAGTGTGGCTCTGTCTCTGAACCCCAGGAGGGGGGTGAATTAAGTACTCTACTTACACTCAGCTCAGGTGCAAGATTTAGTGCATGGATGCATCTCTACTGACTACCGACATGAATGCACTTTGCAAAAAGAACTCTGATTAGAGCAAGTTGAGGCATCTGTGATCTTGTACTGCCAGCCATACCCTGGCAGGCTCTGAACTGTTGTTGGTTACAACTCCTTGCTTCTCACATGCTTTCCTGTTTAACATCTATGTGGTACACCTTTCGTTTTGTGAAAGCTTCCTGGTAGCTTTTGATTCTGATAAACATGACTTTCCCTACTTAGTTCTGCAAGTTTGAATAGACCAGCTTTTTCAACTTGACTTTGATATTAGCTCTTTAGCAAAATCTTAACAATGCAGATTACTATTTCTTTTTCAAAGGCATGAGATCTTCAGTGCCAATGAAAGAGAGTTTGTTACAGTCCAAGCCCTAAGTAAAGCTATGAATTGGAAATATGTTTGTCTGCAGTGTCCTGTTCTACTTGGTTGCTAATTCTCCCAGAGCACTAGTGTTTTCTAAAAACAGATCTTATGCCCCTTTCAAGCATTTGGCCCTCTTGATCTAAAATTTCATCTCCTTGAAAACCTTTTCTTTATTTCTCCTAGTGCCTCTCTGACCTTTTTGAAGCCTCTTTCTCATTTTTCCCTTTTTGTCTTTTTCTTTTTGATATTGCATCTTGATCTTCTGCTTTTTCTATTTTTTGTATTTTCCTCAGCCTTCACACCCCTATCCTTCTGCTATATTGTTGTCATGTATTCTAAATCTGTGTTATCATATGCAGACTTTTCCTCTGAGCTTTAGACCCTGACCTCTAAGCTACTTCATGGACATTTCCTGTAGGTATTTCAAGTTCAATGTGTTTTTCACTTATTTATGTTCCTCTCCAAAACTTGCTTTTCCTTCTATATTGCCTATCTGGTTAATGGTCTTATTATGGTCCTCATAACCCAAGAAACTTGAAAATCCTTTACTGATTCATGCAGTCATCTGATTTTCTTATTAATATCTTATTAATATCTTGCATGTGGCAGGCAGATAATATCATGTCTAATGGAAAAGAGAAATTAATGTAACTAAGTCCTGAAATTACAGCTTTTGGTGAAGTCTACTACAGAAATAAGCAGGATAGTATATGACAAAGAAAATGTTGGGAACTGTACTCTAGACAGATAGTCAAAGAAAAGTTCAGAGTGATATGGTGAGATGAAAGATGAGAAAAGCCAAACACTTATGTTGCTGGAGAAAGAACAGCAGAGAAAATGGCAATCACAGAAACCCTTGTTGCTAGCGTAGTCTATTTGTGCTGCTATGATAGAATACTAAACACTGGGTAATTCGCAGTTTTGGAGCCTGGAATACCAAGATCATGGCATTGATGTTTTGTGTCTGGTCAGGGTTTGATCTTGCAGAGTAAAAGAACACTGTGTTCTCACATGGTGGAATATAGAAGGGAAGAAGGGACTGTCTCTCTCTCTAATGAGCCCCTTTATAAGGTCACCTAATCCCCTTCAGGGCAGAGGACCCATTTTGGCCTAAGTATCTCTTGAAGACTCCCTCTCTTAATATTGTCACTTGGCACCACCTGAATTTGAGAGATACACATTAAAACCATACTTGGTGGGCAAAGGCTTGTGTTCAAACAAGTTACCTAAAAATCAATTTTCATGGTGAGAATGTAACAGAGACTTTGAGGTGGGGGCTGCAGATGCCCAGTGGGTAACTAAAAGTAGAATGAAATTTGGCTTGTCTGCCTTTATTATTGTATCTATGTCCATTATTACTGTGAAACCTTGGGCCAGATTCCTGCTCAACTCTGTCTTTCCCAGCATGGCCATGCTGATCAAAGCTCCTTTCTTGCCCTTCACCATGCTCCTCTCCTTTATTAGCATTTGGGGACCAGTGGCAAGTGGCCAAACCTGCTCTACTGGGACTCCTGGAGCTGGGGCTTTTGCCATAAAACCCCTGCAATAAGAATAGGAAAATGGAATGTTTTGTTTTGTTGTCTTTTCTTTTTGTACTGGGGATCGGATCGAACTCGAGACCTTGCTCTTGCAAGGTAGGCATGGTGCCACTGAGCTAAATCCCCACCCCTGAGGAAAATGGACAGTGATGTTGGTGGAAAGGGAAGCAGAGGTAAGATTCTGCAGGATTTTCTGGGCCATGATAAGGAATTTGGATTTTATTCTATGTGCAGTGGGAAGCTATAGAACGTTTTCAGAAGAGTGGCATGAACTGTTTCATAATTTTGAGAGATCATCTGGCTGTAGGGTGAACAAATTGGAAACGTGACAGTTTGGATGTGGAGACAAAATTAAAGATGATGAAAGTTTTCCAGGGATGACAGGGATATAGAAGTAGAGGGGGAGGTAAGTTCACAGACAGGAGGTATTTTTAGTGGTCTCTTTTCCTTATCACCCACTGTTGTGTCTCAGTCTCATTTCTGTCCCTAGAGCACTCTGTGGCATATGGGGCCTCCCACACCCCAGGTCCCTACCGTGGAATCCTAATGGTTGTTATTCTTATTCTTTTAGGGCTTCAACTGTCAATGCCAATTACATGATTTCTGACAAGGAGAAGGTAGAGAACAATAGTTAAGAAAGTAGGCTCAGGAAGTAAGCCACCTTGGCTCATGTTTACGCTCCATGACTTGCTAATGGTGTCACTTTGGGAAAATTGCTGAACCTTTCTATTTAATTTTCTCTAGGTACAGGACAATAATAATAATAATAATAATAATAATAATAATAATACATGTTTTTAGGACTTTGCAGGAATTGAAATATATGACACACTGTTATATGCATTTTAAATATATGGTATGTGCTCAGTAAATACACATAGGCTGTGTGCTGATAGTGTTGGTACTGATGATAATGATAGAGGACTTCAAATCTCACCATGGTAAGCATTTCAGTACAATCACCTTGGGGAAGTTCTGCAGCCTTTACTGCCAACTTTATATTAGGAGTAAGAATAGGAATCGGAATGGCCCCACTACAGGAGTGGGTGGGTAGCAGGGTAGCTGCTCTTAAAATGTCTTTTCTTGGGGGAAATCTTTTGGGAAAGCATTTTTTATTCCTTTCTGGATTTTTAATTTTCCTTCTCTGAGCCTATATTTTCCTATTTTGATTTTCTGGTTAGAATGATGTGAAAGAAAATGGACACTTACCTTTTTATTTTTCTTGTTTTGTATGGGGAATTGAACACGGGGCTTTGTGCTTGTGAGGCAGGTGGTGGAACCACTGAGCTAAATCCCCGGCTGGATATTTATCTTCTAATCATGGAAAGGAGGATAATTTTCCTGTAAGTTGAGAAAAATTGGGCCTTGCTGCCACTTGATGATTTTTATTCCTTGATGATTCTATAGGAAACAATCTTCAGTAATTATAAATTTTAACTTTCCTGAGTTTGCATCTTGACTAGTATTGACTGCTTTGTTTTAACAAGTAATCAATGATCTAATCTCATAATTTTCCAACTCAGTTATCAAGGCTTCTTGGTATTGACTAAATAAATAAATGAATTAATCCTTAATGAAATGTCTCCCTGAACCTTTTTCTTCCTTATCAATTATTGTTTTCCTCTATCTAAATTATACCCTCATTACTTTTCTTGTGAATGTATATACACTATAAATTAATTTTTTTCAACTTTCATATTTATGGTAGATTTATTTTCTCAAAATATATAGCTCTCCTTGCCATCTTTCATTTAAAAGAATTAAAAAGCTTTTCACCAAGAGGAAACTTACAAACTAGCAAAAGATTCATATTCAGACTGTATAAAAATTTTTCATAACTCAGAAAAAATCAGAACACTCAATTAAAAATTGGGCAAGTGATTATTCAACAAAAAAGATCATGCAAATGATGAAGAAAGGTAAGAAATGACCCTGTACCTCAAAAGTCATCAGACAAATGATCATTAAGACCATTTTCACTGCCATCAGAAGATTACAATTAAGAAGACTGGTCTTCCTAAGCGTTGATGAGACTGTTGAACAGGTTGAATATGCGTATACTACTAGAGGGACAATATATTTATGTGACTACGAGAAAAAACTATTAAACATGATCAACAAAAGTTGAATATAAAAGTGCTATATGAAGCAATTCTCCTTGCCTGTATATTCAAAATAAATGAATGATAGGTAAAGGGAAGTGACATAGGAATGTTAA